AGTTGCCACACCGGAACCGGAGGGGTTCCAGGTCCAGGCCTCCTCCTTACGAGCCACTCGGTCCGCGAGCTGAAAAAGCTCCGCGGTAGTCTGGGGCTCCTTGGAGGCGATCTTTTCGAGCATGCGGTTGTGCCGCACACCCCCCTGAACGCGTAGATCACCGCGTGTGCAGGGATGCATGGTATGGTGTTGCGGACTTGACAGAACCGCTGAATGTATGAGCGAAGTGACTCATCATCCCTTCGCTGTACTGCGTGTAAGTCCGCTTCTTCACCTGGGCGCGGATATGTGCCTTGAAAGTTCATGGTAAACTGTTGGCACAAATCCTCCCAAGAGTGGACCGACGCGGGTGGCAAGTTCATTAGCCAACCCCGCGCCTGTCCCTTCAGGGCCATGGGAAAGAAATTCGCCATGACCCTGTCATCACCCCCGGCGGCCTCGATCCCGGTCGTGTAGACCTGGAGAAACTCGGCGGGGTTGACGCTCCCGTCATATTTTTCGGCGATGGTGGGCCGGAACCTTGGGGGCCAACGGACGTTCCGAAGGCTCGCTACAAAGGCTCTACAGCCGACACCACCAACCGGGGGCACGGAGGGCTGATCCCCGCGTCCGTGTTGAGGTGACACTCCGGACGAGGAGGCACCCTCCGTTGCGTGGGTAGCACGTCGACCATTACGCCGGCGCTCGATACCGATGCGGGCATCTGGCCCCCCACGCTGATCTTCCCGGGTCAGAGGTGCTGACGAGGGAGTGGCAGCCGAACGGCGAGCAACAGCCGCCGCTCGCCGCGCCCTCCGCCTTGACGACACGGAGCCGGTGGTAGCAGCGCCAGAGGTCTTGGTGGCGGAGGACCGCCCACCAACACCTAGGTGCTGCCGTGCCGTCATGACCAAGTTGGCTACGTCATCCAGCCAACGTTGGGCTGGAGACTCCGGGTCAGGGACGACGGGCGGGTGACGTAGGAGCGCGCCCGCAGCTTGGAGCGCGCCCTGGGGCGTGCTACCGTCGCCGTAGACGAGGAGGCGACGCTCCCCATCTCGGCGCCCTTCTCCATCACCCGTGGATGTCGAAGTCGCGGATCCTTCGACCCTCTCGAGCGCCTCCTCCCGCCTAGGACTTTGGCGTGGAGGGGGCGGTGGAGTACGAGCTCGACGGCGTGGGTTCGGCTCCCCGTCGTCACCGCTAACACTCGGAGAGAGCTTGTGCGCTTTTGCTTGTTTAGCCATTGGGCTGAACAGGAAAAGCTTGGCGCACACGAAAGAGTATGAGAGCTTAGAAAAACACACGCAGAACCCCCTACCTGGCGCGTCAGATGACGGAGCGTGGGGCTCCTCACCGGGAGACCGCGCAGGTCCCCCTTTGCCGGTTCGGCCGAGGGCCCTGGGTGAGGTTCTAAGCTCCTAGTCTGTGGAATGTTCGCGAAAGTGGAAACACACAAGACACGGGCAATGTATACAGGTTCGGGCCGCTGAGAAGCGTAATACCCTACTCCTGTGTTCTGGTAGATCTGTGTACGAAGAAGCTACAAAGAGCTGGAGAACCAGAGAGCTCAAACTCTAGAAACCCCTTTCCTCCTTTTTGCCTCTCGTGGGATCTTCTCCTGGATCCTCCGGGAGTCTCCAATCTCTCCTCCCCTGGTCCTCTGGTCCGGATCCCCTCCCTAAGTGGGCAAGGTCCTCCTTTTATATCTCAAGGGGATACCACATGCACCACTTCTACCTATTTCTCTTTTTGGTGGGGACCCATCCTCTTTTCACTAAAACTTGGCTCGCCTTTCCTTCATAAATGGGCGGAGATTTGTAATGGTTGCCGTCCGAATGACCTTCTGATGGGACGGCCCATACCTACCTCCACTTTCGCCGGAAGCAGGTGCGACGTGGGAACATGGCTGTCTGCCGACGACATGACCAGTGTCAGACCGGTCACAAATCGGTCATTCTTGTCCACCACGCGTCAGTTTATCAATCTGCATGTTCACCCTTCTTCATACAATGTCTTGCTTGTAACGGTTGGGATGAAGCCTAGCATATATCTGACCGGGACCAACGTGTCATCTCCAGGAGCTAGCACGCTGGCTCCGGCTAGGGACAAGTGCCTGGAGGCTCTTATCCTGACGGGATGGGGCGAGGCGTGTGTCAGACCGCCTGTTGCCACCTAACCCACGATCTGACCGGTCTGTGACCGGTCACAGACCGGATAAACGAGCGCGCTGCACTGCGTTACATGCGGCGTGACGCGCTCGTTCAAACCGCAATAAATGCGGTTAGGTGAGCCCCGCCGTGCTCACCTAACCTATACACGCGGCGCAAAACCCACAAGGGGTCGGGGCGCCTCGGCCCTCGGGGCCGAAACGGGAGCGGTCCGATCCCTCGGGGAGACAAAGAGAGGGGCGGCCTCATCACCTTCGGGCCCGACCCCCCCGAGGGGGTCAGGCCACGTGGGTGATTGCTCCTGCCCAAACCTCTAGTCATGATACTCCCGGTCCCATGTCACCGACATCATGCTTCCCGAAGAAACCATGATGAATTTATCATGGTTACAACAGAAACATCCACATCTACATAATGGTAGTACTAGTATTGTTCTATTCTGCACGTATTACATTCTGTGTGCGGAACTCAACACGTACTGCTCGAGTACAATTTCTGAGCAGAGGACAGGGAAATGAAAAGAATGCCTACCAGGTATAGTTAAGTTAAGGGTGTGTTTAGTTCACGTCAAAATTGGAAGTTTGGTTGAAATTGAAACGATATGACGGAAAAGTTGTAAGTTTGTGTGTGTAGGAACGTTTTGATGTGATGAAAAAGTTGAAAGTTTGAAGAAAAAGTTTAGAACTAAACAAGGGTTAAGAAGAAATAAAATAAAACTATGAATATATCTGCTAGTATTGTACAGTTATGCTACGAGATGTTGAATTCAAATCTCACATACTATTATTTTTTTTTACTTAGTATGCATCTTTACTACATGTTGTTTCAATTGGTACTAATTAAACATCAAAAAGTTTAGTCTCGATTACTAGTCTCGAACAGGTATTAAAGATCGTTTCTCGTGCATGAGCAATAAAAACTGATATAACAAGAGGAAGCTCCACGAGAAAAGCAAAGAAGACGGAAAGAGAATCTCATATCACCTGTGCCATGGATTGATGTCACAAAATCGCCGTTGTTCGCTCTGAATCGCCCGTTGACAACCTGATTTATCGATCAGGGCTGTCGAGAGGGATTTATATGCGAGCTCAACATTGTTTCGATTTTCCGATTACCGCGGACGGAAATTTGTCCACCGCGTGTGGATCCGGTAACGGGCTTCATCGGGGCTTGCTTCGATGGACGGTCAATAGGAGCGGGAGTATGTACTCCCTAGGAGTACCCATTTTCATATATATACTGTACTCGAAAAATTGGCTTTGAGTTGAACCTGACTCTTATTTTGTTCTTCTGGATTTTAATATTTTGTAAACTATTTTCTCAAAGATAATTTACCAAGTTGAGCTATCATTCATAGCAAGATCTCTCGCTGCAACACCCAGGGTCCTTTTAGAGAAAATTGCAATATTGGGACAACAAACATTAGGGCTTCGCTGTCTTGACACTCCGAGTGGATGACAAATGGGTCCATATGTGTCTATGAAATATGTGTCCAGTATCATTATAGCAAAGGTCAATGTTTGCAGTGTCATTATTGCAAATCTCCCGTCATTTTTACCCCGTTTCATAGAAAAATATTATATCTTATGAAATTAAATCTTATAAAATTAATAGACGAGATATAGCTACATTGGTGTACATCTTTAATGCATGCCATCCAATTTTAGATTACCATATTACTTTCGAACGAATGGAGTAAGAAATGCTCATCTGGTTGGCATCAATATTTTAGGCGACTGGTGATATGGAAGATGTTCTCCGGGGTTGATTACAGCCGTAGTTCCTCGTTCCATGTCGTAGACACACAGCGCTTTCCCATTGAACCCCGAGTAGTAGATACAGTTCCCTCTCAAGCCTGTTGTCCGTGCATCAAGTGACGCTCCAAAACAGCCTATCTGAACGAAGAACACTCTGCCACCTAGCGAATCCACCTTCACCCACGCTGATCTTTGCTCCTGCGTCGTCGCCATGCTCAGCCTGTAAACGCCAACACCAGCGACAATCCGATCACATCCAATCGGGTGAGAGAAGAGAATGGAGTGCAGCTCCCCGTTCGATTCCACAAAGATGCTGGTACGTTTCATGTACACCGCCGGCCTCCTGTCGTCGTCGTCTACGGCGGTCACGGTGAACGCCGGCTCCAGTGAGAACTCGAGGACGGCGACATGGTCGATGAGATCGGTGTAGAACTCGCCGTCCATCGCCGTGAGCTGGCGTAACGCCAGGATGACGATGCCGCGGTGCTCGTGGTGAGGCGGCCCAGGCTGGAGGTACTGGTGCTGATGCCTCTTCACCCAGTGGTTGTCGCCGGGGCGGCAATACCAGAGCACCGTGTCGGCGTGGTCGATGACGAGCACGACGCAGCTGGCCGGGTCCATGGGACCGCAGCACGAGAGGAGGCACCTCCGGCGATGGCTGCTGCCTTCGGCGGCGAGGACGGTGCCGTCGTGGTCGGGGGGCAGCCCGACACGGCGGCCGGTGAAAGGGTCCCACAGGAAAGTGCACGGCGAGCCGCGGCGCGCCATGAGCAGCCAGCCCTGCGCCGTGGTCCACCACCGGTGGCCTCTCATCATGTCGTCGACGCCGCCGTCGCCCACCCTCCTTGGCAGCAGTGCTCTCGCCGGCACGCTGTACAGGGACGTGGCGTCGCCGTGGCCGAACAGAAGCAGAGGAGCAAGCTTGGGATCCAGTACTGCTGCAGATGCATCGCCTGCCTCCTCCATGATTTTGATGGCCGACTGTCCCACAGGTAGGATACGGCCGGTCAATTGAAAACGAACGAATTTGGCGGTGCTTTATAAACGAGGAGAGGCTTTGAGCAGTGCAATTACTGGCATATAGGAAAGAGAAGCGAAGAAATCTGCACGCCTACGACCTACGATTACTAGTACCAATTAGGACATGAATTCCTACACGACATCAAAATTCAAACAAATTATAGTACTAGTACTTTGGGCCGGTAAATCAGTAAAAGGAAACAGTAATCTGGGCCGGGGATAAAGAGGGATCACCACATATGCATCTATGGAGATTGGATAGCAACCAACAAAAACCAACCGTGCCGGGTATACAAACTACAAGCAGAAGCGGAAGCCGACCTATATATGAGTCCGGAGGAAACACGTCAAGAAAGCAGAGCTCCGTAGCAGCACAAAACGCAGCGCGCCAAGCAGGCCATTGCGGTGCACGAACCCTCGAGATTCGCCAAGCAGATAGATGGAGGCCACTGCGACGGCGGCGCAGGGACTACGGGACTGGTCGTCTCTCCCGTTGGACATGCTCGTGCTCGTCCTGGATCGGCTCGGGTGGTCGACCCACCCGAGCTTCGCATTGACGTGCCGGCACTGGCGCTCCGCCGTGTCGCCCTTCTACCCGGCGTGGATCACGCCTCTCCTCCTGAGCGCCGCCGACATCGGCGTCACGAACGTCAGGTACTACAGCCCCTACTACCACAGGTGTTTCGAGATCGCCGACACGCTCCTCAAGGTGCCCAAAATTGCGGCTAGGATCTGCTGCTCCAGTGGACAACACCTCACGCTGTGTCTACCTAGATTGATCCTCCAAGCCGATCTCGTAGCCGGCACCATGTATGAGCTGCCAGAGATGCCTTTCTATTCATTCGAGTTTATTGTCTACGATGAGCACGCGCGGAGGATGTATTGCGTCAACACGACGTACGCGCTACAGCTCGCCCGTGCGACCCAACAAGACGACGGCGAGTGGGGGCCCTGGGAATTAACGGACTTTGACGTGGAAGGACCGCAACTTCTGGCGGCGCCGATCAGCAACCCGGTGCTCCATGGTGGTTTGTTGTATGTTCTTGGTGAAGACGGGAAGATGGCGGTGTATGATCCATGCAACCACGACAATAATTTTACAGTTCCCGATAAACCTAAGGGCTTTGGAATCAAACACCAAGTTGATAGCCACCTGTTTGAGTCCGACCAAGGCGCGCTCATGGCTGTCCTCGTCGGCTACAGTGGTGCGCCTATCCATGTCGTCAAGCTCAACGAAGAGACGATGGAGTGGGAGAAGATGCGGTCATTGGAAGGACATGCGTTGTTCACCGGGACATACACGACAATGTTGAGGAAGACTAAGCTTAGATTGATGCAAAACAAGGTGTTCCTCCCGAGGCTGTATGACTGGCCTGAGACTATCCATGTCGACATTGTTACACGTGATGGCGAAACAGCATTTGTACCAAAGTCATCCAGTTCGTCTAACACCAAGGAGATCACCTCGGACATAAATATTTGGTTCTACGAGTTTGGGCAGCAAGACGCAAGAGAGTTTTGGGGATCGGAGAGAGTAGATTATAGTATTTGGGTTGATTTTAGTACTAATTGACACAAATTGACGTTGTTAGCTCTTATATTTTCATATAGTGAATCATCTCACAATGAAGTTACTCTTCTTTCAGGCCAAAATCAAAATCGACGCAAATGAAATTTGATATAATATTTCTTTGTTGGTTGAAACATGGCGCTATTAATATTATGCACTCAGCCAATGCAATTTTTGCATGAATTGATATTGATATTTGTGCACAGTAATTTATGAGGATTTAAGGGAATAATAAAATTATAGGCTTGGATGATTTTCTCGGAAAATTTGAATTTTTTTGGGAGGGAAGGATTTAGGGTTTGGGTGATTCACAAGGATTTAGGCAAGTTTTGAATTTCAAAATTCGAACCTTGGGATTTGTAATGGAACTTTGGGATGAAGTTTTTGGGATATCAAGGAGAGACCCACCGAGATCTTTTGGCACACTTAAGTCCTTGAGGATACAGAAAGATCTAAAATTTTTGCAATTAGGATTTCGTTTTATACAAAATAAGTTAGAAAAATAATTCATTCGACTGTGAGTTGCTGAAGATATGGTGGTGTTATCGGAAGACTTGACCGAATAGCCATCACTGCTAAATGGTGGCATGGATCTACTTAATCCACAAATAGACTTTCCCATTAAACCAACCATATGACTGATTACTCCCTTCATTTCACCAACATCCATTATCCAATGCATGAATCGATTTAAAACCAAAACGTATCACATAGAGCTAGAAGAATGAGGAAAACTTCACCAAAAGCAAAGTAGTTAACGTACAGGTGCAAGTAGTTAACGTACAGTATCAATGATACTGGTTGGTGACGTTGGCTTTCATCATATACTTGGTTATCTTCTTCTTCGCCTTCTTGTCTTCCGACTCACACGTCTTAGCGTGAGCCAGAAGTGGGTTTCTCGCCCTGGCCGAAGAAGGTTCAAGAAGAATCTTCTTGTAGCCTTTTCCGCAGATCCAACACTTCTTTGGGTCGAATTCCTCCTGCTGACGCACGGCCACCTGATGGCCCGTTGCAGTGGCATCGAGGGCGACCTCGTCGGACTCGATGACTGCGCCGAGAGAAGGTTTGGGAGCGCCGTCGTCAGCGTCGGCATTGGCGCTGGAGTTGGGATCGACCTTGTCGTCGGCTGCGACAGTGCCAGTGGGATCGACCTCATCCGTGACGGTGTTGTTGGCGCTGGGAGTGGGGACGAGCTCGCCGCTCTCAGCCCTGGCACTGCCGCTGGTGTCAGCCGTGGCGCTGGAGTCGGCCATGACGCCCTCGTCGCTTGTGTCGCTGGCACCAGCCGGCGCAGCACTGGTGCTGGCAATGTTAGAGACGGCAGTGCCAAATCCAGCGGGATCCACCAGCTGGTACTGGAAGGCGCCGGGCTTGAACTGAACCAGGATGACGGTAGTGTTCTCGCCCGATGCCAAGCCGAACTCAACAACCTCCTCACAGATGACACGCAGCTCTGCACCCTCCTGCATAGCAATATTAATTGGTCACAGCATTATTGGTAACAGCAGTTTTAACAGCGAAAGAATCGAAGTCAAAGCAGATGGCAGTTTGTCAGCCAGGCATGCATATTCAGTGCTAAACTAACAAATGGTTTTGTGAGGTTTAGGGCTTACACAGTTTTTTTTTAAAAGAAAAGAGAAAATCAGGATATTTACATTGCTTGATTGAAGTCATTTCCTAGAACAGATAGCATGATTAACACCACTAAGATATCTTGTCCTGCCAAGAAGACAAACTGAGGGAAAGAAAAGACTCACCACCGATAAACGGTCATGTATGTAAGAAACCACGTCCGCACTGTCCACGCAAGACCTGCAGGGGGAAAATATACAGTAGTCAATGCAATTAGTATGGAACTATGAGTGAAACTATATATGAACCAAATAGGAGGAAAAAAAAAAAAGAGAATGCCAATGAGTACTGGTGACATAAAAATGATCCAATAGTTATTGACAGGTATTTTTTGCTGAAGAGTTACCACTTACCAGAGACCTTGACTTGCAATAACAAGAAACTCCATGTCATCAGTTATGTCATCCTGACATTGAAAGGGCAATTTTCCATCAGATCCCAACCCGGCAAAACTGAACTTCATATTCTACCAAACGGACCTATTTACACTTAGTTACACTTACAGCGAGGATGTCCGGATCACATACCAGCATTTGTTTTTCACGATCTAAATCTTTGTTCTTCTTGAAAGCAAAGTCACCTGAAATGTAAGTAGGTAAAACGCCAATCACAGTGTAATGTGCTTCTTTTTGTGCTATTACATGCAATCAATGAAAAACAGATCCAGACAAGACTATACCAATTGATCTTGAGATTGTTACACCTCCCCCAAAATCACCGAGGACCCATTGTTCCTTGACTACATAATTCCCCATTACTTGTTCACACCTAAGTCCAAGAGATCTCCCTCCTGCATTTTGAACTCTCTCTCTTTCAGACTCAGTTCTTGTGCATGGTTTGTGATCGAAGGATAAATCAATAGCCTATTGACAAAATGGAAACAAGCACAAATGTTAGGCACCACAATGAACGAGCTTGCAAATTAGGTATTAACCAGAAATTCAATAGGGAAACAATCACTATACCAGGCCACCCTGTCTTGAGAGTACGCAACGAGAATCACCAACATGTCCAACAATCATTTGGTTACCTCTGATGACAACCACACATGCTGTGCTCCCTTCATACGCTGGCCCAGTATATGTCGCCTGGGAAAACAACAACCAAACTGAAGTATATAACACAGAATCACAACATTGTTAGAAGGAAAAGGCTACCAAAAAATAGCTCAAGAAAGCCAACAGGTATAGAAAAACATTTCTGAAAACCAAACCAATGTATGAAAGAAATAACCATCGAAGGGATATCGCAAACAATACCTCAATTTGGATAGCATAGTATGATAAGAACCAAGGTGCAATGAGAACTTAAGAACCTGTTGGCCTCCAACTCAGTAAACCAGCCAATTGATATGTAACTAATTGAACCTTTTTTAATAGGAGCAATTAGTCGAGATTAGGGTTAAACATATCTCCTCCAACTCCAAAGTACATCACAAGAAAGAACAACAGTCTCGATATCAAACACATTCTTCCATTTCCTTTTTCATAGATACAATATGCACACTGTCCAACAAATACAATTTTGAGTAACTTCTTCACGATATGAATATTTGAGGATGCTAGGGGTTAAAAGATTACTACCTGTGGGAAAGGCTTAGCACAGACACCAGCCTTGAGAAAATACATACATCCATTATCATGAGGAATAACTAACTCTCTCCAAGCATCGGACTGTTGCAGGTTCTCATCCATGCTGCAGCAATCACACGAACAATGATATCCCACATTTCCAAGTGCAGCTATAAACAAAATTATGTAAAGTAGGCCAAAATAACCTTAAAAACACATTGTCCAGTGCATTAATCAGATCGTTGTGATAGTCTTCATGATTGCATAGCTCAATGTGAAATTGTTTTGCGCAATACAATGCTACTTCAGCTCCTGAGATAGAAAAAAACAATTCAGTATGGCGTCTCGCTCAATACGATGGATCAAGATTACTTCTATTGCATAGAAGCTTATAAATCAAAACACTGTTGTGAACATTAGTAGCAGAACAACACTTGAATAGGCATCATTAAAAAAAAACTAACCTGTTAATCTGTAATTATCCTCTAAATTATCATCACCATTTATATTACTAGTAACTCATATTCATGCAGTGTTTTATCTCTCATGAATTAAAATTTCTTTTTATGTAGTTCATGTTATCCTTGCAAGCATGCCACACGAATGTGATTACTGATTAGCTAACTTGTTCATTATCCATAACTGTAGCATCATATTTATTTGAAAATTGACAGGTAAATGTTTCAACATATACCACAAAGTTTTCAAAACATGCGCAGAGATAAACAAAGTGATACACACAGACAAACATAGCATGACATAACAGTTACGCCAACAATTTGGAGGGTTTGAAATTAAAAAAAAAATGAGAATGAAAGCAAACCTCCATGGCCATCATAAACACCAAAGAAAGACGTGGACGTGGCATCATCAAGATTTAGAATAGCTGCATGCTAGAGAATATAGAGGGCATATGTCAGTCACAGTATTTTGCAGAACTGTCCCTTTTTTTTTCATACAAAAGGCTGCAAGTTTACTCACAGCATCTTCCATTTTCTCACCCCATCCTTGCATAGACGACACAACATACTTAATTCTGTCATTCTCTTCTTCAAAAGTGAACTTCGATTCTACAGGAAGGCTGTTACCCATAGCGGAACTTGCTTTGCTGAAAATTTAACATGAATACAAATATAAAATAACATTATTAACAAAAACGGGGAAAGACACTTAAACAATAATACAGATCAATTAAATGCCAGAAAGCTAGGTTACATATGAAATAAAGTGAAGTAGAATCATCAAACTTGATATGGCACTACTTATCTAGCTCAAAGCACAGGGTGTAATTGGTGCTTTCATTCAGGGCCCTTAAATGCTTAAATGCATTTTTGAGATATATAACATGGAAGTATCAATCTTCAGTTGCAGTGCTGCATTATTTTACACCTAAATCTTATTTTATTACTGCGAACAAAATACACACAAGGTTTTCTACAAACGCGATATAAGCTTTACTGACACATATCATAACACCAAATTTCAAAGTGAGATAAGAAGAGGAAACGAGCGCATAAAGTGTACTGTACAAGAATGATCGATTTCCTTTAGATATGGCACTGCTTCGGCGAATCAAAACTTAAACAATTGCAAACAGAGAATGAAGAACAGAAGAAAAAAAGCAAGAACAACCTAACAGTACAGTACGGCACCGAACGCCATCACAGAGAAGTGAAAAACAGGTTACAGACAAAAAATGCACAATATCTCGGTAAGGGAGAAGGAAGCCAAATCAAGATTCAAGAGATGGAAGTTTCTTTGATAGGTAAAGAATCAGAAGATTTACAAGTAATTCAATGGAGCGACACATGCAGAAATCATTGAACGAAAAAATAGCATCGAGTAAACAAAGCCACAATAGGACAGAGAGTTCTTTCGAGGCAGAAAACAGAGAGACGTGTAGAGAAGAAGCATCCTGCATATTGCATCAGGAGCAGCGAAATGAACAGAAGAAGGCATCTAGCTAATACAAATTCAGAAACTGGCACTTCCGCAGCATACCAAAACAGAACAAACTGAAAAGAGAAACGAATTGATGTGGTTTAATTTCTCGAGCTTGCACTGGTAGAAATAGAGAAACGGAAGGCAAGATCAAGACCAAATAGAGAAACGGAAGGCAAGATCAAGACTAACATGTTCCGAGGAGAGGCGAACGAGATCACCATGAAGCTTCCGTGCTCTTCAACCTCCTCCAAGAAACTCACACACCCAACTTCAAAAGCATCAAGCAACAACAACA